CTCTACTCTCAGTAAAGGCCTTCCCCTGCCCCTTGGATAATTGGTTTTCATTGTCCAATAGCAGGGCCCTTCCTTATTCTAGAGTAATGTCGGACGATCACTTTCCTTCTAGAGATTCTGCGGTCAGGGGAAATCCTATCGTCCCACCTGATGGCAGGCGGAGGCTTGGCAAAGGAGCGAGGGAAGATGATCTGGCATCCACCGTTACAAGTGATTATTTGATTATTCTTCATAAGAAGTTTTACTTTCTTAATGATGTGGTTTCAGTGGCTCCTAAGAGATCCGATCGGGCTGGCACCCCACCTCCTGGATATTTGACAATCTGTGAGACTCATTTGCGATCAGGGCTGCGCTTTCCACTTCCTGCTGAGTTGATCGAGATTTTAATGCATTGTGGGGTGTCTATATCCCAATTTACATACAGGGGCATGTCCGTGAGGATCGGGTTGATTGCACTTTTCAGGGATCTTGGGGCCATTTTGACACCTGAGCGTCTCTCCCGGATAGGCAGATTTACTAGCGACGCATAGGGGCGTATTACTTTCAGATCCAAATGGTTAGATATGAGGACTCGGGATCCGGCAAAGAGTTGGGCCAATGCATTTTTCTTTATGAAAAATGACTGGGGCCTAAGAGAGAAGCAGGGTAAGTTGAGGGACATGCCTGTCCCTTTGCATGTTGGAGAGGAAGATATAAAGAGGTTTCTCAAGGTCCCTGACGTCGAGCATCTTTTATATGAGTTTCATTATATGAATAAGTACAGAGAAGAAGAGTTTCTGTTTAAGGTCGGGATGTCAGTCCAAGCTGGTAGATCAGATGCAAAGATGCTAAAACCGACTTCCAAGATTCCCAAACGACCTGCTGTAATTCCAAAGGCGGCAACTAAAAGACAAACGAGAGGTGAAGATCCCCAGGCTTCGAAGAAGAAAAAGTTGGAGGGGGTTGCGACGAGCAAGGCTGCACCAGTCTCTTCTCCTTCCATAATTCATATTCTTGAGAATGTTTTGAGTTATCAGTGCATTGGGCGTCGCAAAGCTGGTGATTTGGTACGTGATCTTCTTCTCATACTTTTTTTTTAGGATGATTTCTAATATATTTTTCTTTCTTCTTTCAGTTGTCGCGACGTACGGAGCTTGAGGTCGAACTTACTGAAGCTTTGAACCATTGGAATGATGAATTTGTGAGGGTCAAGTACCTTCATGGAGAATTCAAGCGAAAGTATGATCTGAAGGCCAAAGAGGTGAATGTGTTGGAGGAAGAATTGTGAGGGTGCAGGACTGAGTTGGTAAATATGGTGCATTCTGCTTCTCTCCAAAATCATTAGACAGATCAGCTTCAGATCGACCTAGTGGAGGCACAATCAACGATTGCCCAGCTCTCGAAAGATCAGAAATCCTCTGCATAGAAGATAGCAGTGCTTGAAGCTTAGAATAAGATGTCTCAGACTCTTATTGCTGAAAAGGAAGCCGTTCTGACCAGCCTTGAATCTTCAGGCTCTTTTAAGGTACTCGACCTGTCTGAGGCTTTTAATAAATGCGCTCCAACTTGTGTGGATGAAGAAGAATTTTTAAGGATATAAGATTTATCCGAGGTTGTTTTGTCAGATCCTTGCTTGATGACGTTAATATTTGTGAAAGAGATTGAGAGAATTCACCGAGAATGTAAGACCTATCCGAGGTTATTTTGGCAGAGCTCTGCTCGATGATGTTAACCTGTGAGGAAGAGGTCGGGAGAATCCACCAAGGATGTAGGACCTATCCGAGGTTGTTTGTCAGAGATCTGCTCGATGATGTTAACCTGTGTGGAAGAGGTCGGGAGAATTCACCAAGGATGTAAAACCTATCTGAAGTTGTTTGCCAGAGCTCTGCTCGATGACGTTAACCTGTGTGGAATAGGTAGGGAGAATCCACCAAGGATGTAGGACCTATCCGAGGTTGTTTGTCAGAGCTCTGCTGGATGACGTTAACCTGTGTGGAAGAGGTCGGGAGAATCCACCAAGGATGTAGGACCTATCCGAGGTTGTTTGCCAGAGCTCTGCTCGATGACATTAACCTCTGTGAAGAGATCGGGAGAATCCACCAAGGATGTAGAACCTATCCGAGGTTGTTTGCCAGAGCTCTGCTCGATGACGTTAACCTGTGTGGAAGAGGTCAGATCGGACCTCTCTAAGGCCGATTATTTTGTGATTGAGATGCAATAAATATTGCGTACTTCTCAAATCAAGGGTTTCAGGATTGAAATTCATAGCTTGTGTGAATATATCAACATGATTTTATTTGAAGAAAATATAGTAAATCAACTCAACGAAGGAATATACTTTTACTATATCAAATAAAGAAATACTTCCATAAGATAACTTAGGGCTGAAAAAGTTACAAACATTACAAACAAACAAGAGTCAAATGACGTTCACTACTGAAGATAAAAAAACACACAATACTGAAGACATAATACATAAAACAAGTAGCACTATTGTGCTCTACTGATAGTATTTGCGGAGATTGTCAACATTCCAGGTCTGAGGGAGCATCTTTCCTTCAGCATCCTTTAATTTGAAAGTACCAGGCTTTACCATAGCTGCCACCAAGTATGGACCCTCCCAAAGGGGGGAGAGTTTATTGCGTTCAAGGCCTTTTCCTGCTGCCTCAATGCTGCGTAGAACAAGATCCCCAATCGATATACACCGTGGTTTTATTCTTCTATTATAGTGTCGAGCAACTCTCTGGTGGTAGGCAGCAACCTTAAGCATTGCTTCTTCTCTTGCTTCTGGAAGGAGGTCTAGATTGTATCTGAGCTTTTCGTCGTTGGTGTTGAAGTCAAAAGTTTGAACTCTATGACTTGGGACTCCAATGTCGACGGGAATGACAGCCTCCGTGCCAAAGCAGAGGTTATATGGCGTTTCTCCTGTTGGAGTCCTTACCGTAGTACGATAGGCCCAAAGGACATTTGGGAGCTCTTCAGCCCATTGCCCCCCAGCCTTATCTAGCCGTGTCTTCAATCCTCTCAGAATGATTCAATTAGTGACCTTCGTTTGTCCATTAGTCTGAGGATGAGCCACAGCCGTGTGCACTAGTTGAATATGGAGATCTTTACAAAATGTGGTGAAGACCCTTCCGATGAAATGTGTTCCGTTATCGGTGATAACTTTCGCTGGAATGCCAAAGCGACATATTATGTTCTTCCATAGGAATTATTTGGCATTTGCCTCAGTGATCTTTGCCAGAGGTTCTGCTTTTACCCACTTTGTAAAATAGTCCAAAGCCAAGATGATGAACTTCCGCTATCCCGTGGCTATAGGAAAATGTCCTAATATGTCAATCCCCCATTGGGAGAAAGGCCAGGGACTCTGTAATGTTGAGATCTCTATGGCAGGCAGGTGGGTGAGGTTGGCATGTAGCTGGCAACTATTATATTTTCGCACGAGCTCTAGTGCGTCCTTCTTCATCGTTGGCCAGTAAAATCCTTGTCTCAGGATTTTTTGGGCTAATGCTCTTCCACCCAGGTGTTCTCCACAAATGCCTGAATGTACTTATCGGAGTGCATAATTTGATTCTGAAGGAGGAAGGCACTTGAGATAGGGTCCTGAGAAGGCTCGTTTGTATAATTCTCCATTGACAATAGTAAAGTTAGCTGCCTGCCTCCGAAGTCGTGCTGCTATCATCGGGTCTTCAGGAAGAACACCTTCTTGTAAGAAAGTTAGAATGGGATCGATCAAGGATATCTCCCTTGACTCATCGATTGATTGTATTATCCATGGGCCTGGAATACTCGGGAAGTGAATTTCTTCAATATACTTTCTTTTGAAAGTGTCACCGGTTGTGGAGGTAGCTAGTTTGGAGAGGGCGTCTGCTCGTGCGTTTTGCTCTCGTAGAATATGGATGATCTCATATTTGTTTATATTAGCTAAGAGAAATTTTACTTCATCATAATATAGGGTCAGTTGAGGGTTGTGGATGTCAAACTCGCCCTCCACCTGTGAGGCAATTAATTGTGAATCAGTGTAGATTATCAGGTTTTGCACTTCACAGTTGATTGCCAGCCTCAGACCGGCAATAAGAGCTTCGTATTCTACCACATTGTTTGTTGCAGGGAATTTAAATCAGAGTCCATATTCGAGAGTAACTTGTTGTGGAGAGATTAGCAGAACTCCTGCCCCGGCGCCAGAAATTCTAGAGGCTCCATCAACATACAACGTCCAGCCCGGGGGAGAAGGAGAAGCACTTGTTTGATCGTTAGACATTGAGATGGTGCATTCAACCACAAAATCTGCAAGTGTTTGTGATTTGATATCAGGCCTAGGCAGATAGTGAATGTCGAACTCTCCTAGTTCTACAGACCACTTGATGAGTCTGCCAGAGGCTTCTGGCTTTTGCAGAATATTTTTTAGTGGCAAATTTGTATAGACTCCAATTGTATGGGCTTGAAAATAAGGGCGAAGTTTTCTGGCTGAGTATACTAACGCCAAAGCTGTCTTATCTGCTGAGGGATAACGTCCTTCTATTTCAGATAAGATCTTACTGACATAATATATAGGTCGTTGTATAGCATTCTCTTCCCGGACCAAGACTGAACTGATTGCCTGGGTGGAAATAGCCAAGTACAAATATAATCTTTCTCCCGGAACTGGTTTTGAGAGTAACGGAGGTGAGGCTAGATATGTTCTTAGTTGCTCAAAGGTCTCCTGGTATTCATCAGTCCATTGAAATCCTGAGCTACGAGCACCTCTAAGGATTTTGAAGAAGGGAAGATATCTATCTCCAGAGCGAGCTAAGAAGTGAGAGAGTGCTGCAATTCTTCCATTTAATGTTTGTACATCTTTGATGTTTCTGGGAGGCACCATATCCCTTAGAGCCTTAATCTTCTCAGGATTGGCCTCAATTCCTTTGTTGGTAACCATAAAACCCAAAAATTTTCCCGAGGCTACTCCAAACGCATATTTGGAGGGGTTGAGGCGCATGTTGTAAAATCGAAGGAGACAGAAACATTGCTCTAAATCAGAAATATGCTGAGATTTTTCAAGACTTTTCACCAGCATATCATCTACATAGACCTCCATCGTATACCCTATAAGGTCTTTAAACACCTTATTCATGAGGCGCTGATATGTGGCTCCTGCATTCTTCAATCCGAAGGGCATAACCTGGTAGCAGTACAGTCCTCTGTTTGTTTGAAAAGCAGTTGCCTCCTCATCTACAGGATTCATTCTTATTTGATTGTAGCCTGAGTAAGCATCCATGAAGCTCAGCATTTGATGTCCGGACGTGGCTTCAACAAGTTAGTCGATTCGAGGGAGTGGAAAGCAGTCTTTCGGACATGCCTTATTGAGGTCTGTGTAATCAACACACATCCTTCAAGCTCCATTAGTCTTTTTTATCATCACCACATTTGCCAACCATGTGGGATAGTGCACTTCTCACATGAATCCAGCCTCTAAGAGCTTGTCGACTTCTTTCTCAATAGCTTCTTGGCGCTCCGGTGCAAAACTTTGCTTTTTCTGAATAACCGGTTTACATGTTGGGTTTGCATTGAGAGAGTGTACAATTACTTCAGGGCTGATTCTGGGCATGTCTGCCAGACTCCAAGTAAAGATGTCTTGATTTCTTCGTAAGAATTCTACATA